GGTCTCCAGTCCAACCCGTTCTTCTTGGGTACCACGTGTAGGGCTGTGGACCACGGGCTGCTTGACGGTCAGATTATCCCCATCTCCAACATGTGTTCAAACTCTGTCTTAACGGCTCTGAGTTTCTGTGGGGATAATCGCCGTGGTTTCGCAAAAAGTGATGGGCCAGTCGTCATTATACGATGCTTGATATTGGAAGTAATGCACAGAAGGCCATTTTTAGGTTTAAATATCTCGGCAAACGACTCTAGTGTGTTCGAGTGTGAGTTGGTCACTGAAGGTGTTGAGTAAACTAGGCTTAGGTTGGGGCCGTGTGCCATAGTACCTGAGATGGATAGTTTTGTGGTAGAATCGAAAAGTTTGTGCTTACCAGCTCCTACCAGTAATTGAAAGTACTGCAAAAGATCCATGCCAATAATTCCGCTGGTCACGTTTGCCACAATGAACACCCAGCGGGGGTATCGACGGAGACCAATGTTCAGGTCCATGGACCGTCTGCCATACATTGTAATGAGCAAACAATTTGCAGAGCTAGGACTTTTGTCGCAGTCGCTCTTCGTTGTTGGTCGGGATGACGCTTGCTTCTGCCCCAGTGTCTTCCAGGAAGTGGGTCCCAGAAGTACAGTCAGCAACGAAGAAAAGGCGACAGGGGAGTGGTTTGCCAGCAACGCTAGTCGCCATCACGTACCAGCTTATGCATTTTCGTACTGCTTATCATCAAAGGTGCAAGGGCGAGTGCACCATTGGGCATTTTCACCATAACGTCAATGGTACCAACACACTGCACACTGGAAATTTTGTGACTTTGGGCATCTATTGCTAGTACGTGAGGAGTGTCTATTACGAGGTGGATTTGTGTGACTATGGGACCGACTTCTGGTGCTCATCTCTTGCCTAAGGCTACAGATCTCCTCGTAAAGCTTGGTGAAGTGAGCCACTGCGTCGAAACTTGATAAATCACCAGCAGCAGAATCCTTAAATTAGGAAGGACCATCAGATACCGCAGCAGATATGCTCACGCTGGACTTTGTGGCCTCTGCAGCTCTGTTGATCGCCTCTGTTAACTCTAACAAGTGAGAGTTGTGAAATGGTTCTAAAATACCCTGAACTGACTGAGGTAATCTTTGCAGCCAATCTCGCCGCAGGAAAGCGTCATCGATCTTGAAATCAGCAATTAGCTGTTTCATTTGCCGTAGCATTAGAGTGGGCTTATGGTCGCCACGATGAACATCACGAAAGAGTTCTTGCACTTTCTGTTGATCTGTTAGTGCAACTCGCTTAATTAGGGCAACTTTGAGACGATCATGTAATTTTGGGGAGGGATAATCAAGGAATTCAGATACTTCCTCCACAATTTTTTCGAGGAGGCTCACAAAAACCAGGTTGACCTTGCTTTCTTATGAGTGAATATGCCTTAGAGCAAACTGAGCTTGCACATGACTGAACTATGCAGAAGTACGGCGTGTCCGGAAATTCGGAAGCTGCAGGGTAATGGCCATCTGCGCAGAAGAGCTGTTTTCAGCCATCATTAAGATAAGACGATATAGAAACACAATGAAAAAATATAAATACAAAGCTGGCGAAAAGATTTTATCACCCCACATGCAAAAATAAACAAAACAATCAATACGAAAAGAGAGAAATATTGACACGTAAAGCTACAAATAGGGCAAACGGGGAAAATCGGGCTCACCAATTATAAGTGTTGGTTGTACTCAAGATAGACCTCAACCAACCGTACTCAATAAAGACTTCTCCTCTTAATACCCTTATCAGTACTCTACCTAGTGTGATTAATGAACTCAAAGTAAAAAGGCTTGGGACTGGTAGTGTAGTGACCCGTTTTATTACTCATCATCGCAGTATACTTTCACTATGTAATTGTACTTTGATTTGTTTATTACTCTAAATCTTGCATGTTAACAATTGATACTTTTTGTACTCGCTCGATTTTTGAATTTTGATTGCTGCAATAGTACACTATCGTATTCCTTCGCAAGTGCCTTTTGAATTACATTGAGGATGTCGAGTAATCACAACGTTAGGTCACAATTATAAACGCGAGGAAGTACTAAGATATACGTGTACGCTAGCTTAGTCAAAATATAGCAGCACAACAGTAGTGCGTCCTGCTGATAGTTGTATTTTACAAAGATGAAATATCAATTTTAATAAATAAGAATGGTGCTTTTGCTCACGGAGTGCGCTGAATGGTAGCACAACAAGGGAGCGAACCACGTGTATACAGTAGCGCCGGAAATCACAAGATGGTGTGGCGCCATAGTGAACGAATGTGTTAAAACAAAAATTTACACATTCAAGGTGTACTACAAGCTTTTGCAATTTATCTAGTGGCAACTTCATGTATCTTTGAGACAAATGCATCATTTCAGTGTGCCATAAGGTTTGTGTAGCATGCTGAATCTAGGACTATCGTGGTAAAATCATTATCTTTATGCACTCCACTTGAAAGTATTTAAGGGTTATAGTAAATACGAGTCATGATTCAGCTTGTCGTACAAGATAAACGTATCGTTTACAAGTATAGTATGCAGCAGTTATTTGGAAAAGATTTCTATTTGCAGTAGTTTCTGCTTACAGATTTTCAGTAGCCGTTCCACAGTCTTTATTCGTTATCGAATATAGTAGGGATTTCGCTACATATCTTGTTTGCGTAATTAAGGAGAACACTATAGTCATTTCAGCATTCAGAAGCAGTATGAAGTTTTTTGAAATTGAGTATTGCTGATGACGAAGTACTGATGGTGATGTCCACAAATCTTCCCTATTACACTTTCTTCAATACTACGGAGTACCCCAAACAGTCCAACAGCCATTCAATAGTGCCACATGTCAAGTGATCCATAATGGAAAATTCAGCAAAGCTTTTAAAGTGAAGACAGCAGGAAGAAAAGGCTGCCTCCTATCACCAGTGACATTTGTGATTGTGAAGGACTACATCATGAGAAGACAGTGGGAAGAGGGAGGACGAGAATACGTTGAACCAACGAGAGATTACTGGAAGATTTTAACTTCACTGATGGTTGGTGTCTAATGTCACATAAATTCGAAGATCTACAGGCAAAAACAAACAATCTAACAGGGAAAGCAGTTAAGACAGGATTTCAAGTGGACATTAAGAAAACGGAGGTGATGAAGTTAGCTGACTAACAAAGACAAACCCTAATCACTATCAACAGAATAATTTTAAAAGAGGTTTAGGGGGCTGTAGGTATCGATGTTCGCGAGTTGTACGGATTATACTAACGCAAGATCTTATACCAACAACCTCTATAGTGTTCGTTCTTCGAGTACCAAATGGTAAAGCAAAAGACCAGATTTTGTCGTCCAAAGTACGTATTATATTTCGGGACAAAATCGCGGGTAGAGGTGAATGCTTAGCTAGCTAGTAATCGTGCACGCACGTGACACGACGGAGCACCAAATGGCGGGGATGCTTGACCGTAAGCCTTCAGCTAAACAAGTCGACTTAAACAGTGATGGTCAGCATCCAATGTTGAGTGATGATTGCTGTGGTTAATAATTTTGGGGAATTATTTACCGCTACAGCTCACTCCCTCCCTAGTGGGTTTGTGAGGACCCTAAGACATGACCAGCCGGAAGTAAAAAAATCTCAATGGTTCCCTGATGGGTGAAAAAAATCTTCCGAGCGGCTTGATCGAGAGCCTGCTGGTCTGTCTGCCTATGCTAATAGGGTGTCTGTACATAGCTTCCTCGATGTTGTTCGTTGGATCCGGTGCTTCGTGTGTTTCCTGTCCAGTGCCCGTTGCACCTGGAAAAGAAAACAAGAATGCTGAGAACCTTGTCAAGAAAAATGTACCAAATAAGCGTTTTTTTATACCGAAAAAATGACGTGCATCTACTATGCAGTAAAATAATGTAAAGTTCAAAACATCGGGAAAAAAATATATATCTAATTTAATTTTTTTTACAAGTGCATGTTAAATGTACGATTATTGGAAAAATATCGTTTACTTGTGTTAAATGATGCAACATAAAAAAATTGATGTGTCACTCAGTTATGTGAAATAGGTGTGAAGGTATTCTGGGAATCTAACGTGACGTCCAGAACGCGTTTTCTTAGAGTGATCGACCGAAGTAGCCAGTGGGCGAATGCCCTGACAGTCAATAGTGTGACCCCGAAAATCGAGTGAGTCAACGCCTATTTGACACTTCTGTATATTGATGGTAACACCATGTTGGCGTAACCTTTCAAATGCCAAGTCCAAGTGTCTAAGGTGAGTTTCCTTATCTGGACTGGCAATGAGGCAGTCGTCTAAGTATGCGTATACAAAGTCGAGACCACGAAATACTTCATCGATGAAGCGTTGGAATGTTTGGGCCGCATTCCGGAGGCCAAATGGCATACGTAGGAATTCGAAAAGTCCGAAAGGCGTGATGATAGCCGTTTTCGGAATATCTTCCGTTGCCATCGGGATTTGGTTATATGCTTTAACCAAGTCGATTTTGGAGAATATAGATGCTCCAGATAGCGATGCCGTCAAGTCGTGTATGTGAGGCAAAGGGTAGCAATCAGGAGTTGTTTTGGCGTTCACTCGCCGGTAATCACCAGTGGGTCGCCAATCGTTACTATCCTTTTTCGGTACCATATGCAACGGGGATGCCCATGGACTATTCGATGGCCGAATGATGCCAAGGGTGAGCATATGATCGAATTCGTTTCTGGCAATTCTCAGTTTGTCAGGGGCCAGTCGTCGTGCTTTAGATGTCACGGGCTGTCCTGAGGTTATGATGTGGTGCATAACATTGCTGGTTATACACGGGAGATCGTTAGATGGGCAATTGAGTTCCGGATATTTGTCAACAATCGATTGGAAAGTTGGATCAAGGATTGCTTTCATCTTAACGATTGACAAGCTGGGGCCTACGTAAGTTATGCCTTTGATAGACAAACTAGTAGTGTTGTCAATTAGTCGTTTACGGCGGACGTCTACGAGCAAATCATGATGATTAAGTAGGTCCGTGCCAATGATGGGCATTGTGACGTCAGCGATTAGGAAAATCCACTGAATAGGTTTGCGTAAACCTACGTTCAGATAGACGTATTTCCGACCATAGGTTGCAATTGGTTTTCCATTTGCAGCCTGTAGGTTGAAGTTAGGATCCTTCTGTCGATCTGCTGCTGTAGCAGGAAGGACGCTGACTTCGGCGCCTGTGTCGACTAGATATCTAGTCTGGCTCATTACATCATGGATGTAAAGTAAGCGGCTAGTGCCACCGGCGACGGTTGCCGCTAACGCGTGCCGGCGGGATAGTTTCCCACAGACTTGGAGGCTTTGCCGAAATCACAAGGTTTTCGACAACATTTCGCTTCCTTGCCATAGGTGTTGTGATACCAACACCAGTCAGGATTTTTGAGAGAGCGTGTGTTGGACTTAGATCGTCCACGTGCGCTTTGCCGTTGAGGGGATTTAGAACGACGATAGGAGGAATTGCTAGGCTTGTTTGACCTAAGCATCTGCTGGACGGAGTTGATTAACTCTATCATTGCAGAATCCTTCTTCGAAGTCTGTTCGGTAACTGAGTATACTTCGGTAACTGGCCGTTTCGTTATCTCTAGAATTCTATCTGCAGAGACAGCTAAATCATCTATGAGAACACCCTGAAGTGTCACAAGTACAGTCTGAACTGACTGTGGCAGTTTGGATAAAAATAGTTCTCTGAACAGTCCTTCATCGAACTGACTTTGGCCAATGATCTCTTTCATTCTTGCCAGCATGCTCACGGCTGACTGATCTCCTAACTCGATGTTACGAAATAACTCATCCAGACGTTGTCGATCCGTGAGAACGTTTCTCTTGAGGATGGATGCTTTGAGCAACTCGTACGAGTTACTTACCGACATCTGCAGAGTTACGCACTTGCTGAATTCCCGCGGTAGGGCGTGAATAACTGCAAGGAACTGTGAACGTTGATCAGTTATGCCATGTTCACAAAAATCAGACTCAGCAATCTGAAACCACGTTGCAGCATTATCTGGCCAATATGGTACTAGCTGGATTGTTTTGGCGGTTGATCGTATGCGAATAACCTTGGGGCTATGGTCAGTCATGACGAAAAGTATGCCGATAACAATATAGTACAAGAATAAACACAAAAAGGAACGAACTCACCGGGTTTATCTGCGTGTGAATTGAAGATGTAGTTCGTGGTTGGGCTCACCAGTTTAATGGTGGCTGCGGGTATCGACGTTCGCGAGTTGTACGGATTATACTAACGCAAGATCTTATACCAACAACCTCTATAGTGTTCGTTCTTCGAGTACCAAATGGTAAAGCAAAAGACCAGATTTTGTCGTCCAAAGTACGTATTATATTTCGGGACAAAATCGCGGGTAGAGGTGAATGCTTAGCTAGCTAGTAATCGTGCACGCACGTGACACGACGGAGCACCAAATGGCGGGGATGCTTGACCGTAAGCCTTCAGCTAAACAAGTCGACTTAAACAGTGATGGTCAGCATCCAATGTTGAGTGATGATTGCTGTGGTTAATAATTTTGGGGAATTATTTACCGCTACAGAGGTCACTTTGTTCACTTATCTAGGAAGCATTGTTTTAGCCACAGATGGTACGAATCAATATATCAAAGACAGGATTGGAAAGGCAAGGCTAGTCTTGATCACTGTGAAGTTCGTTTGGAAATTTCCTGCACCCAACCTAAAGAACAAAATTCCGATTCTGTTAAACACCAATGTTAAGTCAGTCAGTTCTTCTATATGGGTGAGAAACTTGCAGTGCGCTTCACGGAAACCATTTAAAACAGGCCATTGTAGACCTTTATCAACAGCTGCCTTCTCTCCATACTGAAAATCAAATAGCTCGTTAGGAAGAATTAGTAACAAGAAACTCTGGGAATGAACCAATCAAGTACCTGTTGCTTAACAAATCTGAGGGAAGAAATGGAGATGGGTCGAACTGTCGAGTGATATAGGGCTCCAGGCACTCAAGTGGAACACGAATGGTTAATGGCAAGATCGTGTGGGGAGGTGAAGGTGAAAGCTTATGGACAGTCTTGGAAACAGCTAAAGAGGACTGTGGGAAACAAGACAAAATAAAGATGTGCTGTGGTCTATGTTCCACTCGGAATACAACGAAATTATAATAATAATACACCTCAGTACTAAAATACAGTTTGCGAAAATTTCAATAGACTGAATTTTAGTCAGTTTTAAAAAATATCATTTTTGACAGTTATATTTCCTACATTTGGATAACTAACTTGGAGAAGTCCTTTTCGGTTAGTATTTAATGCTTCTTCAACCAATTCTACATAGATGTTTTTGGGATTCTATTTTTGTGACTGTAACTGAATGAAAAATGAATTTGGTGTTCCCTACTTCATCTAATTTGCACGCAAATCCTTTTATTGCTTCACTTTGTAATGTAACAAACTCTGCAATTTACCAGTAAAAAGTAATGTCAAATCCAAAGTCATACGGGAAGTTATAGAGATGTATATTATCAGAAAAGTCGAATTCAAAAAGGCTGATTAAAATGGACTACATGTATCAACCATTTAATAGCCAGATGAACAAAATATTTAGTCAAAGTGAAAGTTTATCACAATAGTGAATAATGAGTAGAGTGAATACAGAGGTGTTATATGCATCGTGAATTTATGTACAGGTAAGTTAGTAGATTACAGGATCCCGCGTAGGAATAAGATGAATCATTTCACCAGTGTTTACTAAAATAACATGGATGAGAGTGAAAAAAGGTTGAGAAAGTTGCTTTCAACTTCTGCCATTAGGAGTAAACAATCGAACGAATGCGCTTAGTAAAACACCGAGTAGAATTACAATCAAACGACTTCTAGAATGAAATTTTTGAGAAGATTGACAATATTGTGCAATTACGGGTTAGAAATGTAGAAATAACAAAAAAGAGAAAGAAAACGTGTATAAAGTTCAGTGACAGATCTGGTCAATTCAGGACATTCAGCGCCATTCGAAAAATCCTTCAAAATAATATGCGAGATTCGATCAAACCTACCAAAGGGAGTAAAATTAAGACATCTAGGCATAGCCGAGGCACTAGCTATCCAAAAGCTCAAACCCACGCTACGTATCCAAAAAATACGTCCAATCCTTGTCCATGCCATGGCCATCATAAACAGGTCATTCTTTTAATAGTTACTATCTCATTGCCTTTCTTATCCAAACTTCTTGTTTATTCATGTTATTTTTAAATTTTTCTTAACCCCTATTTACACTACCATATTTTCATATCCGAACTTCCTGTCTATTGTGTCATTTTATTATTTCTACATAATTAATCCCTAACTGCATAAACAATTATTCATCATATTAATTATGATCCCACTAGATTTTTTTATCCAAACATTCTGTGTGTTTTGTTATTTCTACATTTCTAATCCTCAATTACACAACATTTCAATTTTCTCAGTAATTATTAGGCTACTTTGTTTGAGTTTTATCCGTTCCCCTGTTTATTATGGCATTTTAATTCATAATTGTAATTTTATTAATTTAACTCTTCACCGGAAATTATTCTGGATCTTTCAAACCCGCTTATTACAAATACACGAATGTACAGCCTAGTTGATGACTTCGTCGAAAAGAAAATTTTCTTCACTGCAACTGTCTTATTGTAAATCCTTATGATCAGATGTGTATATTCAATGAAATGAAATTTTTATAATGTGGTGTTTGCCACCGAAAGATTGACATATTTGGTACACTGAATGACGTCTTCTGGGAAGTAATGATAATTCACATATCAACAGAAGAACCTATTGAGAAGAAACGCGAGAAGTTAACAACACTGAAAGGAATCCACTAAGAAACAGATAATGTCCATTGTATTTTGTCTTAATAAGTGTTGCTTCTGCCCTCACCTCTCTTGTTCATTTCAGTAACAGCTACCCACAAAATGTATGCATAAAACATTTGAAAGTGTAATTATGACGACAAAATAATAACTTGTATTCAATACTGATATTATGAAATCGTCATTACATCTTGCCTAAGCTTGGAGTGGAGAATAGACAGGTTGGTTAACAACATCTCTTTCAGTTATTCTTTGAATTCCAGTTCAAGATTTCTGTACTATAAACTCATAATGTACACACATATTATTATACATCAATTTATATTCCACTAAAAACTTAAAGACATCAAATTATGCGGCAATATATGAATATAAAGCGATGTCTATTTACATCTAAGTCGCTTTAGATAATAATAAAGCTGTATCCCAGACAATATGTGAACATATATTACAGAAATTTTCAGCGTATTTAGTTCCAAAATATTTCCTCTTAATACAGAACTTATATGTAACGCAATAATCTAAAGTACATCATTTGTCCTAGTATTGTTGCATATGAAGAGAGAATCAATTCTGTACATTTTCACTTCAGTTCCTTCAAGAAATGCATAGCGTGCAGTGGGAAACTAATTAAATATGCTCGCGAGTTCATGTATTGGTCATGTGATATAGTTTCATGATTAAAACAATAAGAAATGCATAAGAGTTTGAGGATTTTGATGGATGAAAATTTTGGTAACCTAGTGATTTAAGCAGGCCGCTGGTAAGATAGAAATGGATGGAAACAAAAAGCCAATACTTCTAAAAAGGTACTTTAAATCATTTGGATGCATTAACTTTGCTTTAGTCTTCTTCAACATATTGTATTATCTGAATGATTAGGAATCTGATGAGTCTGCCATATGTGTTAATAAAATGAACCACAATATTTACACTCATCTGCGTCTATAAATTTTATGAATAGGTAAATGAACTGGATTTATACACACCAGTTAGTTTAGAGCCTTGATAATTTAGCACTACTGTAAATTAGCTGCAAGAATTATAGCTTCACGTAATAAAAATATCATATAAGTGTTCGAATGAGTTTGTAACAATGCAAGATAACTGATTTAAGAAAGGTGTCATGAATTCAACCTAGTAGTCCAGATGAATTCACTGATTATATCTTCAGAAATTTGCATTCCAGTTTGCTTATTTATGTAAGCCCTTCCATCAATGAACATCAGTTCACATTATTTCGATTACATGTGTAACTTCATCAATTAACCGACTGACTACGTGAAATTGTAGTAGAAGCACTCATAGTATCTGGTGGCTTTTACAACCATCATTATCTATTTGTAGCCTTAAAAGAATTAAAGATACCAAAGTAGTAAACTAAAAACGGTATGTTAGTTTATTTGTTAGAGGTAAGGCTGTAGGAAGTAATACTAGACTTAGGTTTCATGATTATTTGCACTCATGAGCAAAGCCTATGAAGAGCCTCGAAGTATCCAATATCCCCTCTAAGGTATGATCCTCTGTCGCCCAGCATTACAGTAAGAGATGTTACTGCATTATTGAATCATGCTATAGATGGTTATTATTTCAACTATTGATATAAGTTTGATGCCGATATTAAAGACTACACAGAAGTGTTATTTTGAAAATTGCTTTACGAAAATTTGCGTTATTACAATTGTAATTTTCAGTGAAATACACCATAGCATAGGGTGTACCTGCAGATAATTAAAAAATTTCCTTCCGTTTGCGAAAAACATAATGTGAAGTGCAATATAGTCACCATGTAGTTTGTATCGCTTAAATGTTCTAGTCAGTCTGTTAAGCTTCACCAATGAAACAAGATTATGAATAAAGACCAGCTTCCACTTGGATTATAATAAAATATCAAACAAGTTCATTCATTCTCAAAGCACTCATCATTTTTATATATGATAACCTATTAAAATCAACTTATATACATGTATATCATGATATAAAACAATTACTAAGTTCACTAGGTTAATCCTAGGTAGTAGGACGATGAATAACTGTTTAAAATAGAAAAAGTATAAAGAATTATAGATTACATTAATAAAAGAACGTGCTGTTCTATAAACAAAAGAAAATAAACGTTGATTAGAATGACACTCTGTGGAGTGCAGAAAAACAAACAACAAAACAGTGAGAAATTGCATAATAAAAACTATTACAAGGAGTACCATTATCAAAATTAGATTTCAAGCTAAAGTGTACCTAAATGGAGATATGCACGGGATAATATACTAAACTAAGAAGGATAAAAATGTAGATTAGTCACATTTTTGTACACAGAAACCTTGTTTGTGCATTTGAACGACACACACACACATTCTCTGACTATAAAAATTACATATGTTATAGTTTTAATTGCAGTCAGTGA